TCCTTCGGAAAACACCCCTAAGTTCGTTTTATTGATCAATTTTTAATTTGTTGTCGGTTAAGATCATGCCGAAATTTAATTAATTTTTTTAAATTAATCAGTTGATGTACAAACAAGAAATTTATAGGTACAATCATGTACTAACGATGTACAATCGAGTACATAAGTGCGTTTTTCGAATTACTGCCTTTTGTCGGGTAAGTACCCGGGGGTCTCTTTGTTGCCGTTCGGCCTCCTTACTGTATTCTTCATGGTGTCAACTTTCCGGAGGTGCCACCTACCATCCGAAATGCGTACCCCGCCGTCATAAACGTTCACATGAGAACGCATCCTTTGGCTCACCGCTCATGATACTTTGCAGTTCACGCTTCTTTTAGTAAAGGGTCCAGTTCCACCATTTTCGGTGCCAGCTTCGATTTACGTGCAAAAATACAAGCAAACTGGAATGCAATAGAATACAGTACAAAAGTCAATATGGAAACGAATATAAGTAAGCCTCTGTGGAATTGTTTGAAGCTGGATCGTCCCCCTACTTCTATTTGGCATCCAATGCCCGAAAATTTTGGTAAATTTTGTGTATGCACATGTGTTCTCAAAATATGATTTTTTTCTCCTTTTGAGAATAATTGCGATTCTATGCATAGTACATCGTGTAAAAGACGAAAATGTTCATTTCTTTAAGTACTTTGGGTTTTCTAGTTTGGTTTGTTTTTAAAAATAATGTTTTAGTTGAGTTTATGACAAAAAATACGCTTAAAATCGGAAAAACGCTTGTTCGAATGCTATGCCTTCTTTAATTTGTTTAAAAAAAAAAAACAAATGGTTTCTGAGCTTTCAAGAATCTATTTAAGCTCTGGTAGATGAAGAGTCGATTCGACTCAATGTTTTGAAAAATTGGCTTATCAGGTAATTGTTTGTCTGTTTTATCGAATGATCCTAAAGTTCCACATTATTTTCAACATTATTTCATAAGTTGGTGGATATTACACAGGAAAATACAATCGGTACCAATAATGAAATGGCAAATATCATCTTGAATAGTTGATCATTTTCAATGTGTAGTGGTTCGATACCGAAAAATCAAGAAAAAAAATTCAATTTGGGAACGCTCTGGAGGTTATTCTGTGACTGTAAATTGAAAAGTCATCAAAGTTGAGGGATTAAACAGTTCAAATTTATAATCATACGTCTATTATATTTTAAGCTCAAATAATTACTGCTAATGTATGGTACCGACGAGTACCGACGGTTTTACATTCAATTGAAATGAATTCCATGTGGTCCTGGCACAGGATTAAAGTCTCTGAAATTATTCTCGGGGAAGGTTCTTGCTGCATCATAGTCATTCTTCGGCGAATATCTGAATTTTATATTGAGTAAGTGTGAAGGACCGCCGTATACTTGGCACACTAATTAATGTAAATCATTAATTAACCTATCAAATAATTTGAAAATAATTTGGGGAAATTTAGGGAAAGGGTTTCATAATTTGGGGAGATCTCGTTGATTAATTATTCATTTTTTTAAATTAAAGCGTATAGTTAGCGAAAATTTCTTATTTTTTATTTTTTTGAATAGGGAATTACGTAGAATCATTTGGGGAATCGCTTTCTATAGATTTCATAATTTGGGGAATTGATAAAGAGTTAATAATTAATAAATTAAATAATTGAATCAATTTCCAGCCCTGCGCGTGCGCGCAGGCATACCCGTTCTATCATTCGTCATCGGGCGCACTAATTTTTGGTGATCATTAATTAACCTGTGAAATAATTAGGAAATAATTTAGGGAAATTTAGGGAGTAGGTTTCATAATTTGAGGAGACCCCATTAATCAATTATTAATTTTTCAAAATTAAAGCGTATAGTTCGCGGAAATTTCTCAGTCTTTATTTTTCTAAATTAGGAGTGACGTAGAATCATTTGGGAAATCAATTTCTGTAGGTTTCATAATTTGGGGAATTGATAAAGAGTTGATAATCAAGAAATTAAATAATTAAATTCTTCAGCGCAGGGCTAAAAATTGATTGAATTTTTAAATCTATTAATTATCAACTCTTTCTCAATTCCCCAAATTATGAAATCTACAGAAATCGATTCCCCGAATGATTCTACGTAATTCCCAATTTAGAAAAATAAAAAATAAGAAATGTTCGCTAACTATACGCTTTCATTTAAAAAAATGAATAATTAATTAACAAGATCTCCTCAAATTATGAAACCTACTCCCTACATTTCCCCAAATTATTTCCAAATTATTTGAAAAGTTAATTAATGATTCTCAATAATTAGTGTGCTAAGTATACGGCGGTGAAGGACCGGAGGCCTACATGAAGCTTACGAGTATTAATTCAATGAAAAAGAAGTCTTCATGCAGAAGCAAACAAGCAGTTGGCCATTCCTAACGGTAGAAGACATACGATTGTTACTTGACATGTTATTTATTTATTTTTTTTAATTTTATTGTTCCATCAATTCCATTGATGGTTGGCTTCCGAATCGAATACCTGTAATGTCTCAGTTTTTCATTTGCAGGAAATTTAAAAATTGCTTATTATAGCTGACATCAAGAACAATATTTTGAAAGAGAAAAGAATCATATCGGTTACATAGTTGTTGAGATATTCTAGAAATTAGATCTACAAACAAATCAGAATTTCTCGCAAACGGCAGGATCGATGGGGTGAAATTTGGCGCACAGTTAGTCGTCATTAATACCTATAATTCAACGACATGACGAATTTTTCTGAATTTTTTGATTCCACAATTGATTGGTTGATTCCACAATTTTCAAAAACGCGACCACCAGATGGCGTCCACACATACACACGGGGTGGTCAAACTTCGTATTTTTACGTTTCAGACCAGTCTACATCGTTTCCAAGGAAAATTAAGAAATCGAAAAATACAACGATTAGAATGCTTCCATTCGGAAGCAAAAACGGAAAATATTCTGTACATTGTGCCTTATTTAAATGAAATTATGGACGCATTCGCAGAAAAATATGAAGAGATTTCCATTTGCATGTTCATTTCGAAGCCAACCATCACTAAAATTGACGGCAAAATCGAATTGAAAAAAAAATAAAGAACATGTGAAGTACAAATCATGTCTTCTACTGTTGAGAACGACCAACTGGTTGTTTTTTATTATCTTTTTATAAGCGTTCGAGTGGTACCTGTAACAAAAATTTGATTCCAAATTTTTATATATTTTGGACTAACAATGGAATTCAAACAAAATATCACGTTCCATAGATAGCCCATGCGGCGCTTAATCGAGAAATAACCATGACTATTACATATCATTTTAAAGCTCTTTTAGCCTTCGAATGACACTCCGTTCATTTGGTTACGTTTATTCGCATCGCAGGTATGAATCTACAAACATCATAACGACATGCTATATTTACTTTGTGTGTTGATGATTGAGTGAAAATTTGGCACGATTCCGATTACTTTGGCGCCACAGTCTGGTGGTGGTTTCCCGTAGTATTTGGTCTCAGGAATTCGGGAAAAAACCGATTTCTATTATTTATAGTAGTTTTCCATTTTTTAATGTAAAAATTTCAAATAATACCAACTTATATCCTACAATGTTGGGA